CTAAATCCGTGGTAACTTACAAGTATGTTGCGTGCCTTCCCGAGCTTGATTACAGTCGTAATGGAGTCCAAAATTACAAATTATCTATTCAAACACCAAGTTCACAGTAAAATCGGATTAGCACAGAATCAGGACGAAAAGCGGGTGAAAACAGGACACTCACACGCCTACACGCACTTACAGGGGGACTCCCACGCGCCTGCACACTTACCCACGTGCGGGCTCCACGCGCGGGCAGAGGCGCGTTTCGAGCCCCAACGAACATAGACTTACCCCTCAAATTTTCTGGGCGTGACACGTGTCGTACAGGGACTGGCGTTAGCTTTTGGGTTGGACCGCGGGTCATCGGGTTGCTTCACCGAGCGCAGGTTGGGTTTTCGGGTCAATCGTCGGACGCGAGTCAGCGGAGGCGCCAGACGCGTCTCTCCACCAGTTGCTTGACGCGTGTCTCCCATTCCGACGGCCGCGTGTCCATCGCCGATAGCCTAAGCTCATCCAATTTCCAAATTTCGGTCAAATTCTATATCAACCTATTTATTTTGGATTTTTCTATCTTCCAAACTATAACTCGAATTAAATTGATTCCTTCACGAGAATTCAAGATCTCAAGTCTACCTATCCAGATATATTTTTATTGTATTTTTTTTTTTTTATACTCACAGCACTTAATAAATGAAGTCGAAAACTGAGAAAAATTCAGTTTCTTACCGAAGTAGAACAGTTTCTCGATTTTGTTTTCCGATGCGATTTTTGGCCGTGTTTTCTCTAAAACTTGAAAGACTCCTCACCTAAAGTGTTGCAACTAGATTATTAAGGTCTAAATCATCTAAAACTCTAAGATCTATGGTGAAATCTTGAAACAAGAGAGGTCGCGGATTTACCTCGCGTTCTTGCCCGTTTCTTCCTGGAAACGAATGATCCAACGCTCAGACCACTCCTCTTGATACTCTGATTAGCTCTAGTAGGAGAACTAAGATTGAGGGTGCTTCAGTTCAGGTTTTGGGGTTTCTCCCTCCTTCTTCCTACTCTTAAAAACCCTAACTCTTCCTTTCTCTTTCTCTCTATTTTCTTTTTCTTTTTCTTTTCTTTTACTCTCTTTCTTTCCATTTTTATTTTATTTTATTTATCTATTATTAACCTCCATGCGAGGTTCTCAAAGAGGAAGATGAGAGAAGGACCAAATTACCACAAGGGAGTTGACTTTGATCATTTTCCTAATTTTCCACCCTTTTTTCTTTTATATTTTTCTTGAGTTTCTGAGATGAGTCTAACCATTTCTCTCTTCTATCTCATCTCAAAATTCAACCTCTAAGATTTTCAATAAAATCTCGAAAGTTTAACTTATAATAGGAGAAAACTTAGGTTTTAAGTTTTTTGTCGGGTTCGAGTGTTACATTCATTCTCTTATAGAGATTATCAGATGACTTGGTTTAATTTTATTTGGTATCAAAATTTCGAGCACCCATGGTTCATTCAATTTTACCAAAATACCCATAAAATCAATTATCCATTTTGGTTCATGGTAGAATATCTTTGGACTCACGAAAGAAATATTTCCTGTCCCAGTACCGTAGTCATTCCCCTTGACCATGAGATTTAACATATAATTTCAAACTACATAGATTTAACTTTGAATTTTCGAGGGAAAGAAAATGAAAATCAAATAAAACAGATCTTCACAATAATAAAAATCAAATGGTGGGATAAATACACTTATACCCAAGCAGATCTAAAGGTTGTGAAGGTTTGGTTATTTAAAAACGACCATCTTCAAGATTTATCCAAGGAGAAGACCTCTGAGTTCTTCAACTCAAAATCTAGGCTACTTGCAGCGTTAGCCTAGACAACTTTAGAATCCAAAAGCTTCTTCAAGAAGGAGCATCCATCGGTTCAACATCTTCTCCTTGTATCATTGAAGAGGAAGAGACACGATCTATTACCTCAATAATCCATTTTTGGATTCCCAGCCACCGAGTGAATAACCGTCATCTACAGTAGACTGAATAGTCGTTAAACTATTAAAAAAAAATCAAAAACCAAAAATAAAAAACATATGTCTTCCTAACATTATTCCTTCGGCTTTATTTCTTTTCCATTTCATTTCTCTAATTTTATTCTCTCTCAGAGTTGTCGATGTCGAACACCCATTAGGAATAACAATAGTCGCAACATTATAATAACTATAATGATCATTTTCCTACGTCTTAGTGTACGCACCCATACCATCATAAAAAAAAAGGTATTTCCCGCATGAACATGCATGAGGTCCTAACATTTTTATTCATTATCATGTAAGACAGCCCTTTCCATTTTCCTTCATATCATATCATTTTCATCATAGCTTTTCATGCATAAATCGGGGTTGTGCATCAAATCGACACATCTTATCTTATATCATTCATATCATGCATCGTGTCATATCATACATATCTCATATCATCAACATATTATGTAACATCATATACTATATCACCAAATGTGTTACCGCATAACATTTATCATATCATTAGTAGATCAAATCATAACACGTGTCATAACATTTATGTATCATTTCATAGTCACATCGTATTATGAACATATCATGGACTTATCCTTTCATATCGTTTCATAAACATATTATAGTCACATCGTTTCATAAATATATCATAGTCATATCATTTCATAAACATATCATAGTCATATCCTTTCATAAATATATCATAGCCATATTGTTTCATAAACATATTATAGTCATATCATTTCCTAAGCATATCCTAATCACATCGTGTCCTAAATATTTCACACGTATCAGGCATATAACACGTGGAGAACCACGGAAACATATCATCGTACAAAGATCAATTCCTAACTGTACTGATAGTTAGGTCACTTACTTGGTTTGCCTTAGCTGACATTCTCCTTAAGCTTGAGTAAGTTTGTATTTTGTCCCTCAAAGTTGCTCGAAGCATCATCGAGAGTTATTTTCTATTAGAACGTCCATCTCATTTTGTTAGTAATACTAATTTCTTAGCTAAATTTAACTTAAATTGAGAAAAGGGATCTTATACTAAACTTAATCACCTTAAATACGGTCAAAGTGACTTCAGAATGTTCGAAAACTTAGAAAACGGTATATAATTTTTTTGATATTGAGCAACCTAAGTCGAGAAGTCGCCACCAAGTTGAGTTGAACTAAGACGCGAAGTCAAGCCAAGAGGAGCCACAACTGGAAGCTCGTCAAGTATTGGGCACATTTGGCATTGAAGGCGCAGATTATCGCTCCGGTCAGTCATGGGTGTCGAGCCCTCGTGTGATTTAAACTCCCCGCATATGTTTGGACTGTTGGAGCAAGAACCCTTGAATCAAAGAAATTAACATCAACTTATACAAAATTCAGATCAATGGACTGTTGGAGCAAGAACCCTTGAATCAAAGAAATTAACATCAACTTATACAAAATTCAGATCAACGAAGAGATAAGGCTAGAATTAGATTACCTCTCACGATCAAAGATCTAGAAACAAGATTTGGAACCTTGTTTTAAATTGAGTCACTCTAGATGCAATCTACCACAATAATGACATAAAACTTACCTTAGAGATCGATTTCATTATCACAAATCTGATTTTTACATAATAATTTGTGGTTATTTATACTCTCTCGACAAAGACGTTTTTAGCCATGATTTATGAAGTCAATTTGACCATTTGACCATTCTAAACTTTATGAAATTAAAAATAATTAATAAAGTTTTCTAACAACTCATCTCATAAAAGGATGGTTGAACTGAGTCTATCAAATTTTGTAGATGAACAATGAATACTTATTGAATCTTTTTGGCCTTGTTCGTGTAATAGGTCCAATTGGAACATTTGAATACTTAACATATTCCCCCTCTTAAAAGAATTTGTCAATCAGAAACATCACATCACTTACCTCAAAAGAACTAAGTCAACAACATTGACATATTCCCCCTCTTAAAAGAATTCGTCGAATTAGAAAAATCAAATCACTTCCATCAAAAGTGACATTCAAATTAGAATGTTCTAAATATTCTCTCGGAAGTTTAATTTTATTTGAATGTTATTAATTCTTTGAAAGACTTAATAATGGTCATCTCCTTTTGGATGTAACTTGTCTTCATTTGAGATGAGAATAGCTCCTTTTGAAAGTGTATCCAAACTCAATCACCGGTCCTTTTGAAAGTGTATCCAAACTCAATCACCGGGTTGAAAAATGATTTTCTTCCGTCCTTTGTTAATTCTTGAAGCAACTTTAAAATTGTTTGTGGCTGCTTCACTCACAAAAAAATATTAGAAGTAATAGGAAGAAAATTAAAAGAATTAAGCTTTTTGCATAATATTTTGATCAAATCTGCCAATTTTTGTGGCGGCTTCACTCACAAAAAAATATTAGAAGTAATAGGATGAAAATTAAAAGGATTAACTGGATTAAATCTATAATAGAAGTAATAGGATGAAAATTAAAAGGGCGGATTAAATCCATAAACAACTTCAACAACTTCACATGAGAACAATGAATGGTACTATAAATAGTTCTGCATACGTCCTCATATTTAATATTTTTAAAAATAATAGTCCCAACCAATACTCCCAAAAATTTGCATATTTGTCTTGTTGCAAGTAATAAAATGAGTCATTTTACTATTACAACAAAAATACTATCTCAAAATTCATAGATATATTAGTCGTTTTAGCTTCTTTGTATTTAAAAGATTGGTTACAAAAATTATGAACATCATGCTTGATCGGCCAAAAGGAGTGTTTATACAGCATATTATAAGTTTTATTAATCCCAAAATATCTCATTAAGATAACAACATGTGCTTCACTCAAAAATAAACAAATAAAAAAGAGAGGAAACAAAATAAAATTCATTTTCTTTTTTAGGAATACAAAGGTTTCTTAAATAGTAATAATCCTCGGAAGAGTTGTATCTCAATTCATTGATATATTTTATCTTTCAAGGAGTTAGAAGTTTTTTCTTTCATCCCTCCATTTCATTCGAAAAAGAAAGAAAAAATAATAATAACAGATGCAGAATTCATGGGATAACGGAAGAATTTGGGAAAACGAGAAGGAGAAATAAGAAAGCAAGTAAAAAGCTCAGTTTTTCAAGATTTTTCAGATTTCTTTCGCAATTCCTTTATCCACTTCAAGCTTGCCTTCTTAAATATGCTCTTCTCTGACGAGGAGGATCCCCCCTCCTCCTTCTTCTTCTTCTTTTTCTTCCCGTTTTCTGTCGACGATGGTGGAGGGCCTGGGTCAGGGTTGGAATCCCATTGATCTGCCCATGACAGACCACCATCTAAACCCATAGCTCCTCTTCTTCCTTCTTTTTTTTTTCCTTTTTCTTTCTCAACAACTTCTCTCCCCTTTCATGATAAAGTTGGGGTATTTTCAAGATAAAATTACTTGAAAAAGTTTCTAATTATGGATGGCCGTAGTTCTTTACAAGAAATGGATTCATTGGTTTGACCGAATAATTCGGTTCATCACAAAGACTTGGTTGGTCCTATAAACATCCAACCAACCCCAGTAACTGCTTAGTCTTTTTTGTTTTTTTTAGGTTGTAACTGTTTAATTTTTAGTTATTTATTTATTTATTTTTAGTTATAAATCATATTTGTTCTCTAGTTTGAATAAAACCAAAATTTGAAAAAAAAAAGTTAATAATTTTTTTTTTGGGCTTTCCATATATTTTTAAAATCCAAATTCATCCATTCGTTTTTTAATTTCGATTGGATTATTATCCTTTCAGAAATTGGATTATTATTTGATAACTTTTATTGTTTAATTATGTAAAATTTTAAATATATTATATTAAGATGAATAAATTAGAGTTTAAACAAGAAGAAAGGAGGTGGTTTTTCAAGTAAAAACTATATTTTAAGAATGTTTGGTGAATTTAAATAAAATATTCATTTTTTCATATTTAAAATATATATTTTTTTGTTATTCCATTTTGTAAATGGGTTTGTTTTTGTATTTTTATTAAGAATTTAAATTTATTATTATTATTATTATTATTATTATTTGTAAGAAAGATGAGATCCAAAATAAAATAAACAAATTGTGAGAAAAACAAACCTTTTTTTTTTTCACAAGAGAAGCATAGAGATTGAACTTTCTAGATGATCCATTAGTATCACATTATCCTTACCTTGCTTATATTTGATGACATACAAAAATGTTTCAATAAATTTCACCCACTTTGCATGCCTACGGTTCAGTTTGTTTTGCCCCTTAAATACTTCAATTTTTCCTGATCAAAGTGATATCAAATTCTCTAGGCCGTAAGTACGGTTGGCACACCTGCAATATATGAATTAAAGCAAGCAATTCTTTATCGTACCACAGTTCAATGCTGTCTCATTTAGTTTTTCACTAAAATACATTAAGAGTTTTCCATCTTAAATTAAAAGAGCACTTATGCTAAAATCACTTGCATCAAACTCGATTTCAAAAGTTTTATTAAAGTTAGGCAAAACTAGTAATGATGCGTGCTTAATTTCCCTAAGAAAATTTAACACATTTTCTAATATTTCACCCAATTAAAAACAACATTCTTTTTCAGTAAGTCATTCAATGGTGCAACTATAGTACTAAAATCTTTTATAAACTAGAAGTTAGCTAACCCATGAAAATTCGGAACTTCACTTGCACTTTTTTGTATTGGCAAATTCCTAATGACTTTAACTTTCTCTTTACATACTCCTATTCCATTTTTAACTATGAACTAGAGAAAGTGAAATTTTTCATGAAAAACTATACTTATTAAAATTAGAATGAAATTTCTATTCATATGTAATCAAAACTGACCCAACATTCTCCACCTTCTCAAACAAAGTCTTCAAATAAATTAAAATATCATCCATATACATAACCTGTTTTTCAGATGTTTTCTCAAAACATTATATATTGAGCGCATTACTAGGATAATTAGTTAACCCAAAAGGCATAAGAAGCCATATACTATCCAAACTTAATTTTGAAAGTTGTAAACTAGAATTAATCTTTCCTTTCGTCTTTCTCTTTTTCCGGGTTTTCCATTCATCTCTTACCTGCATTCTAATTTGATGATAAACAATCTTTATAAATAGACATGAACCATGCAATTCATCAAGCATATTGTCTAGCCTAGGAATAGGATGTCGATACTTTACTGTGATTTTGTTGATGGCTTTACAATTCACACACATGTATGTTTCATCTTTCTCTTATATAGCCCTTCTCCATGAGCTCCTCCACGTGCTTTTGAATTTCTTTAGTCTCAGTTGGATAGACTCTATAAGCTAGCTTATTAGGAATAACAGCACCCAAAATGAAATCTATTTGATGTTCACTACCTTTAATGGGAGGTAGTCCTTTAGGTGCTTCATCATGAAACACGTCCTCAAATTCTTGTAAAATGATTGAAAAACACTAGACAAAGCCAAGTTGTTAGAGTTAGAAACCATAAATCCTTATTTGTACGTGTGAAAACATTGCTCTTCTCTCTTCTCCAACTCTAGAAAAAAAAAAAAAAAAAAATTATTTCTTTCCATTTTTTTCAATTTCATCTCTTTTTCATTATTCTTTCCATTTTTTTTCTCTATTTTTCACTCAATTCTTGTTTTTTTTCGACTCTTTCTTGGTTTCCTTAACTTTAATGGATTAGTTAATACATTGGCAGAACTAAGGTACAAGAATGGTTTTTCTACATCTTTTACAAAAGAATACCTATTCAAATAACCATCATACATGACTCTCCTATCAAATTGCCAAGGTCGGTCAAACAATATGTCTCCAGCAAGCACTCACAAAGAACTTTATTTTTATATTTTCTCAAAGTAAAAGATATTAAAGATTGAGAATCTACCTTCATTGTTCCAATATCATTGAGCCATTGAAGCTTGTAAGGTTTAGGATGGTGTTGGTTGGAATTTGGAACCTTTTGATCAACATGACACTTACTACATTTGTGCAACTTCCACTATCAATGACAAGACTACAAGGAGTCCCCTTGACTAAACACCGCGTGTGAAACAGGTTGTCTCTTTATCATCAACATCATTCTACGTAACTTGAGTTTTAAGAAGTCTTCTAGTAATAAATGTCAAATGACTCCCATTTTTCAATTCCTCCTCTTTCTTCGAGACTTCTTCAACTACCTCATTGATCTTCCCTCTATTTTCCTTGTCTTGGTTCATGATTGTACAAACAATAGTTATATGCTTAGGACCTCACACACTCAACTCACTGATTTTACACTCAGGAACACTCGTGTTTAACATACAAAGGTAGGCTATTTGGGGAAGTGACTAAATTATGATCAAGTTAGGCTAATATATGGATAAAATAATTATGATAGTAGCAAGCTATTCTAGAAAATCAAGATAAGTTAATGATGAAGAATAGCACAATAAAACAAGAAATAAACAAACAAATAAGGGACACAAAAATTCTTTTTGGATAGAATTGTCCAATGAAAAAAATGAATTCCAAAGAGAATGATCATGAACATTTGAGAACGATCTAACTTTCCTTTTTACAAAATTCAGTCAAATTTAGAAGTTATCTTCGAGTGTAAATGATGAGGAAAAAAAATATCAAACACAACCATTCTAGATTTAGATGGATTAAAAAAAAGATGTGAATAGAAGTTTATTTGATATTCAAATAAACATGCCAAAAAAAAATTAAATAAATAAATGATAATGACCATTTATATTCACAATTTTACAAACAAATATGATAAGGATTTTTTTTTTTTTTTTTTCTTCAAGATCTATATATGATCCTTACCAAAAAAAAATGAGAACAAGATCAAAAGATGATGAAGAATGATGGAAATGATAGCTAGAAAATAAATAGATAGATTCGAAGAAAAGATAAACAATATTATAAACAAAAGATAAAATCAATTCTAGAGTAGGCCACAACAATGCAACCTAGGCTCTTATACCAAATTGATAAGGCAACCCTAATCCTCAACCCAACAATCCAAGTTTTTGTTGAAGTAAGAACCCTTAAATCAAACAAATTAACACTTCCTTATACAAATTAGATTACCTCTTACGATCAAAGATGTAGAAGCAAGATTTGGAACCTTGTTCTAAATTGAGTCACTCTACCATCAAACTTGATAAAGGCTTGATTGAATGGCTCAAATGCAATCTACAAGAATTGCATGAAACATAAAAATGACAAAGATGATGCTCGGATTTCTAAGGGGGAAGTCTCAACTTCAAGAGATCGATTTCATTCATCATAAATCTGATTTTTACATAAGAATTTGTGGGTATTTATAGTCTCCCCACAAAAGACGTTTGTGGCTATGATTTAATCCCGATCCCCTTAAATCTACCCCAAAGACAAAGTCAATTTGAACATTCGACCATTACAAACTTTATGAAATTAAAAATAATAAATAAAGTTTTCTAACAACTCATGAAATGATGGTTGGACCGAGCCTATCCTATTTTATAGATGAAGAATGAATGATTGTTGAATCTTTTTGGTCTTGATTCGTGTAATAGGTCTAGAACATTTGGAACACTGTGATCTGTATCAGGCTAGACTAGTATCAAGTTGCAAGTGGGTATCCGACCCGAATTTGGATCCATTGATCTCATTATAATAACCCAAATTTTTTAAATAAAAAAAAAAAGAAAATGTATTGTCCCATGTCGCTTAAAGTTGAGTAGTGGGAGCCTCCACTATAAAAGTGAGGTCCCTCACTTCATTTTAGCATCTCACTTGAATGATTCAAGCTTGTCAGAGAATATACTTTCTGATGGCTCAAGGCTAGTATTTTGGTTGACCGACTTGGGTCTAATAAGCTAACTCTTTCCTCCTAGTTTTAATTCTTTGAAAGCATTCTAAGGCTAGTACGACTCCCTTTTTAGCTAGTTTACATTTTTGGAGTCAAAGTTTACTTTTTTTAGCTAGTTTAAACTTTTGGAGCATGGAGTCAAGTTTAAAGTATTTATGCATAATTAAGCTTAACTCATTTAGATTATTTATTCAAAATTAGGCATAACTAGTTTAAATAATGTGAAGTAAGTTTAAATTATTTGATGTAAAACTAGTTAGTCAATTCTCATGGTAGAATTTTAGTTTATGATGTTGGACTCCTAAGCAGAATTAAATTTTAGGGAGCATCTGTAACAATCCGCTTTTTGAGAGACTCGAGCCATAGATTGTTACTCAGTAACGTGAAAATAAGAAAAAATACATTACATTTAAACACGTGCATGCATTTTGAAATTTAATGAAAATAATAATGAAAATTTTTGCTCTTATAAACAAACAAGAAGAGACCCGTGAAATACACCACTACAAGATCAAACTATTTAAAATACAAGATTTAAATGTGGAACTTCAAACTTAGGTGGGATGGAACTCTCTATAGCCAACAACCTCACATGCGCCTCCACTTTGATCGCTACGTCAAGCTCC